TCGTAACAAATATGTTGTCAATCAAGAAATCAAGCATCTTGATAATGTCAGTTTCAGAGAATTTTTTGTTTCAATCAGAGTGATTCTTTACAAAGTAGGATGTATCCCTCCCCAAGACAAGATACTTGTATCTACGTTCGCCATTCTTTTTAATGAAACAAAGTAATACCAACTCTTTCAATTTGTCTTTTAGTTTGGAATGGGGAATACTTGTGTAAAGTGTAGAAAAGTCAAATGTGTTAATACAATTGCAAGATGAGAGAGTCTTAGATTATATGTACTCTAAAAGATCTTTGGAATTTTTTAGTATCCACATCTGATTCACGCCACCTCTAGAATAGGCAGTTTCACAATAACTTCGGAGCCCGGCTTTGATTGCTGATAAAATAGATGTTAATAATTTAGAAAGAGGTTTCGTGGAGCACTTGGAAGACCCAGCAATATACCGTTGTTTGTAAGGACACTTACGTAGTTTAGGTATCCAATACAGTGATGGAAGATCCAGTTCTTCATCTTTGGTTGAAATTCAAAAGGAACATAGAACAGACCTATGATTTTCTAGGATTTTCTCTTTGGTAAGTGTCGTGAGGGTATATGTTGAGTTTCCAAGTGAACTGTCAATACCTAATTCATTTATCAAGCAGTTTATGTAATGATATTTACACACAAAAACGATGTTGTTTGGGGCTTTTTCTGCGGGGACAACAACATATTTGTCATGGAGGTAGGACAAGTGTTTTGCAACATTTGGGTCTTTAAAAATTGATGTAGCGTGGGTATTGATATGCCCATTTAGTTTCTTAATTCGGATTTGTATCAACGACCTCACAGCCTTAATCCATTCGGAAAGAGTATCTACGTCGTTTTTGATGTCAATGAACGAATTATTGAGTCAGTGATTTCGTTACCAAATTAATTAATTAAACTGCTACTAAATTCCTTCATAAATACAAAGACTTCTCAGAAAGTTAGGCTGTACCTGTAGAAAAGAGGCGAAAGATACCAAAGGGAAATAACAGTACATAAAGCTATAAAAGACCATGTAGGTTACAATGAAACAAGGCAATAGAGTAACAGTACATAAAGCTATAAAAGACCATGTAGGTTACAATGAAACAAGGCAATAGAGTAACAGTACATAAAGCTATAAAAGACCATGTAGGTTACAATGAAACAAGGCAATAGAGTAACAGTACATAAAGCTATAAAAGACCATGTAGGTTACACTGACACAAGGCAATAGAGTAACAGTACATACAGCTATAAAAGACCATGTAGGTTACAATGACACAAGGCAATAGAGTAACAGTACATACAGCTATAAAAGACCATGTAGGTTACAATGACACAAGGCAATAGAGTAACAGTACATACAGCTATAAAAGACCATGTAGGTTACAATGACACAAGGCAATAGAGTAACAGTACATAAAGCTATAAAAGACCATGTAGGTTACAATGAAACAAGGCAATAGAGTAACAGTACATAAAGCTATAAAAGACCATGTAGGTTACAATGAAACAAGGCAATAGAGTAACAGTACATAAAGCTATAAAAGACCATGTAGGTTACAATGAAACAAGGCAATAGAGTAACAGTACATAAAGCTATAAAAGACCATGTAGGTTACAATGAAACAAGGCAATAGAGTAACAGTACATAAAGCTATAAAAGACCATGTAGGTTACAATGAAACAAGGCAATAGAGTAACAGTACATAAAGCTATAAAAGACCCCACAATGACAAATGGAAATCATAATGACATGTATGTATGCAGCGATAATACTTTAATGTCTATTGTTGGTTGTATTCAACTGGTTTTTTTTTTGTGCTCCGCTGGTGCTAGAATGCCCGCCTACAGTGCGAGAGGTCGTGGGTTCAATCCCAAGCCAGGACAAACCAAAAAAATCAAACCGAAGGCTTGAAAATCTACATCAAGATAATACAAGTAGGTAAATTTTACTAATTTTCCCCATGAATATTTATCACAATTGTCAAAACAAACCCAAGTAGATAAAAATTGATATACCAAAACAAAAACAAAACTAACAAAGAAAGCAATAAGAATATTTGTCGCTATTTGTATCTAGTGTAAAAATGAAAACTACCAGAGAAAAAAAAAACACATGTCGGAAACGGAAATAAAATACAGTCGCTAAAAGACAAGCAACGCAAGATAAAAAATATTGCTTGAAATACCGAAGTGATAAATGAAGTTTAAATCGAATCAAAATAAACCACTGCACATACATATATGATGTTTGGTATATTTTTCTCTCATCATATGCAATACATATTAGTATATTAACAACGGCCGTGTTATTAATAACACACTCATAACTACTTTCAGAATACCAACATAAAGTACAAAAATGTACGTCGTGGCTAACAAAATGTTAGTGAATGCTTGTTCGGACAGAAAATGCTTGCGAAATAATTAACTAAATGTGTATATAAAGATTAAGAAGGATTAAAACTACCACAAAACTTCAGTGGTACAGACATCTAACAGCCTTTTACTACTTTACCAGGTAATACGTTTGATAGTTAAAACTATGATCCTATTGATAAATCCCCCTTCATGCTAATTTTCTTTTTAAGCAACCACTTTCCTTCCATTTTCAAATTGGACGATATTTTCAAAATTTCAGATATTTACAACAAGAAACAATTAACAATTTTTTGTGGTAATTTTTTTTTTTCTAATTTGTACTTGTCTTTTCCTTTCAAAGAATTGTGTTTCTATCTTTATTCAGACTTCCAGTCCTGTAATTTTTCCGAACTCTGGATTAGGTTGTATAATCTTATTCAGACTTCCGGTCCTGTATTTTTTCCAAACTCTGGATTAGGTTGTATAATCTTATTCAGACTTCCGGTCCTGTAATTTGTCCGAGCTCTGGATTAGGTTGTATAATCAATTTTATTATAACTTCATTTCTTTTTCAATTCAAATTAAAATTATTATTTTGTAAATGTGTGTTTTGTTTTACAGACTGAAAAACATAGAAATGGACAAACTCTCTTCTGTAACATTGATTGCCTGTTTTGTATCTATCAGTACAGTCATGCAAGGTAAGATATTTTTTTTTCTTTTTATTTCTAATTTTTGAAATATCATTCGAACTTTACGGAGGACTTTACTACTGCTTTTTTTTCTTTTTCATTTTCCAAAAACTGGTTCACGTTATTCAAAATCTATGTCATTACCAATAACCAGTTTTTAAAATCATCACCGGCTTTTTACTTGGTCGGACCTTGACCTGGTATAGGAACTATACTAATATTATAATAGTATTTACATATTAGTTCTATTGTTAAGATTTGTTTTTTTAATCTTATTATTTTCGTTTTTTACATCACTGGGTCGATACCTCTGCTCGTGAAGTATCAGCCCCCGAGGGTATCATCAGCTCAGTACTCAGTATTTTGGTACTGAAAAATCATAACAAACATTTCTACAACTGTCCGTTTATACATTTTTAAATTATGAAGGAACTTAGGTTTCAACTCCCTCAGACAAAGTTGGCCTAATATAGATTTGGCTATTTGTTATTACATTTGGCAATATGTCCTTTTCATTCATATAGCTCTTCAACTATTTCTGTTCTTATACATTCTTGGATTTCAAATATTCGGCTTTGAGCGATCTTGATGAAGGTAAATCCAGAAAAAGCGATTCGGACGCATGAAATATACAACGTGTTATTTTTCCTTTCTTGATACCATTTTCGAAGTAACTGCTTCCACTAACTTTTTTTAAATACAGCTTTTTCATTTCCTATTGTTAATTATCCATTTTTAGATGGTGACGTTCCCTTGTCGCCATCTTATGGTGTTTATATATCTCAACTTGTTCGATTCGCTAGTGTATGTAACAACGTATTTGATTTCAACGACAGAAATCTCTGTATTACTGAAAAATTATTACACCAGGGTTTTCGATATCACAAACTAGTCAAAACATTTACTAAATTTTATCATCGGTACAAGGACATCATTCGTAAATATAAATCAACATATGCAGACATCTTATACGTTCAGGTATTTCACATCCAATATTTTATGGTAATATTCTTTACAAAGCACAAAAATGTCGGCATTCACCTCAAAAGCTAACCAAACCTTTAAACAGACTTATTCGGAAAGGATATAGTAACGATACTGTTGTCAAGTCATTAAGGATTGCATATTTTGGTATTAATATTGATTCACTCATATGGTATTTGCATCGGAAATAAACACATTTATTCTAAAACCAGTTGTTGGCATGATACGGGTTATGTTCTTCTCATATATTTTATGATGGTATGATACTAAACCCCTAACGGGAGGGATTGTACTTGATTTTCATATGATGCAAACATAATCTTTCAATCAGTTTAATTGAGGTCTGGAGCTGGCATGTCAGTAACTGCTAGTAGTCCTTTGTTCAATTATGTATCATTGTCATTTTGCTTAGTTTCTTTTATTACCTTTTTTGACATCGGACTCGGACTTCTTTTAAACTGAGTTTTACTGTGCGTATTGCTATGTGTTTCTTTATTCTACATTGGCTAGAGGTATAGGGGGAGGGTTGAGATCTCACAAAACATGTTATCTTCTTATATTTATTAACCCCGCCTCAATTTTGCGCCTGTCCCAAGTCAGGAGCCTCTGGCCTTTGTTAGTCTAGTATGTTTTTTAATTTTAGTTCATTTATATGTTTTGGAGTTTAGTGTGACGTCCATTTTCACTGAACTAGTACACAATTTTAGTTAGGGACCAGCTGAGGACCACCTCCGGGTGCGGGATTTTCTCGCTGCTTTGAAGACCTATTGGTGGCCTTCGGCTGTTGTCTGCTCTTTGGTAGGGTTGTTGTCTCTTTGACATATTCCCCATTTCCATTCTCAATTTTAACTATTAATTTCTTACTAATATTTATTATTCAGGAGCTGGCGCTGACGATTGTGCTCCAAAAATAGCGTCCTGTACTACAAACTATACCAATGCGTAACCAGAAGCAGCGGTTACAGGAGACAAGAACAAAATATGCAGGTCAGACATTTATAATATTTACAAGTTTGATTTCTAATCAATTTTATATCACTGTAAAATAATTTAATTGCACTATTTTTTTTTTAAATTATTTTTTTTTTTGTATTTAAACATCGTCCTGTCGTGAAAAGACGTATTTCTCTTAATAACATGCTCCCAAATTAGAATTAAGAATTAAATGCAACATTCCAACAGTCATTCCTTTAATTGAATTTATTTAATGGCTGAAAATCTGGAAAATATTCTATAAAGTCAATGCTATATAGTAAGTTATTTATAAATTTCAAAACGTAATACATGTACATGGATATTACATATAGTGTTTTCGTATTTTATTGTACAGTGTTGTTCATACCTATCTGGATTGTTTGAATACAGTTATCACTGACTGCAACTTGGACCCTACCTCTTCTATTATAAGCCAAACAATCGCTGCTGCCAAACAGGCCCTTTCCCAGTATGGATGTGGAAGTGGTAAGTATGTCAAAATGTCTTGCTCTCAATGATTGGTCTTCAACCGAATGTATGTATTATAGAAAAAAAAGAGACGTGGTATTATTTAAAACAGTCCAAATGACGTGGATGTACTACGTTCCGGTCGGTTACTCGCTCCGCTGATTTTCACTGTCAGCGCCCGAGTTACCATCCGTCAGATATCGTAATTTTGTATTACCACCTAAAAAAAAAGGATATTGGATTTTCATTTTCATTGTAGAATTTATTTCTTGAAAAAAGAAGATACCCAGGGAGAGGATTGATATCTCACAAAACAAGTTTAACCCCGCCGCATTTTGCGCCTGTCCCAAGTCAGGAGCCTCTGGTCTTTGTTAGTCTTGTATGTATTTTTTTTTAAATTTTAGTTCATTTATATGTTTCGGAGTTTAGTGTGACGTCCATTTTAATTCCAAAGTACACATTTTGTTTAGGGGCCACCTGAAGACGGCCTCCTGGTGCGGGATTTTCTCGCTGTGTTGAAGACCAACTGGTGGCCTTCGGCTGTTTTCTGCTCTTTGGTCGGGTTGGTGTCTCTTTGACACATTCCCTATTCCCATTCTCATTTTATTACTCAGGCGAAATTGCCATTAGACGATATTTGCTATTCAATTTGAGCTATTTTTTGGCATGATGCTTTTTTTTCACTTTTTTAATTTACGAGTTTGTCTTTTAGCAACTGATCACATATTTCAAGAGTAATCAAACGTTTTAGGATCTGCTTAACCTTCCGGAGCACATGCGATAACCCCCATTGTTGGTGTGGTTCGTGTTGCTCGGTCTTTGGTTTTCCTAAATTGTGTTTTGTGTACGGTTGTTTGTCTGTTTATCTTTTTCTTTTTTAGCTTCATTTATAAATATATTAATACCACAATTATTTTTTTCCAGGAAATGGTGCCAGAAGTCTTGATAACAGCTTCGGTGTCATGGTGGTCGGACTAAAATTTTATAAGCTTTTTAAGATGACATATTTTTAATTCATATATTTGTATAAATAGACCTACACGTAAAGATAACAAGTGCGCTAAAAAACATGAATGAGATATAACGAGTCCAGAACCAATCCTATATATACCAATACATATTCTTAGTATTAGATTTTATTTCATAATCTATTTTGTTCAATTCAATATTTTATCATAAATATTTGTTGTTTTTTAAGGTGTTTCGGTTAAGGTTTAACTACCAAGGCTTTTCCTCATCAGGTATCCCAAGCCTCTAACTAATAAAATAATCAGTTTCAAAAGGAAAGTTCAAAGCATCCATACGCATAGAATTTAAATATTCTGCATACAGGGATACGACACCTGGTAACTTTGTATTGATGTATTGTACTCTAAATTCAATCAGTTTATGTTTTGATATAACTACTGTCTTTTATGTTGTGATTTATCCTATAACTTGGAGGATGTAAGTAGATCCTTCAAGTTTTTGTGTCTTTTATATGCTATGATCGGAGGTTTTGGAAACATAGTTTTTGTGCTATCATTTTGTTCAATTAGGTGCCAATGTTTTTTTATTGCTTTATTAAGTCCATTGAAGGAAGGATTAAATTTGGTAGCTAAAACTAATGGAGGCATTGCTCTTTTGTTTTTAAGCTTGTACCTTAGACAATCTTTTCTTTCCCTATGCAATGCCTTTGTTATTATGGGGTTTATATCCTTTTCCGAGTATCCCCTATGGAGAAGTTTTGTTTTGAAAGATTCAATTTCTTTTAGTGTATCATTTTTGTTATTTGATGATCTCATAAACCGCAATATTTCTGCAGTAATAAATCCATTGAACACCGATGATGGGTGAGCTGACGTTCTTTCAAGATACTGAAAGTTATCAGTAGGTTTACGGTATAGTTTTACGTCTAATATATTATGATTAAGGAATCTGTTTCCTTTAAAAATTGTGACGTCAAGGAATTGAATGCTAGTGTGTGATATTTCATGCGTAAATTTTATTAACGGGTGTATATTTTTAGCAATGTTAAATAATTCAGTAAGATTATCTTGACTAGAATTAAAAAGAATGAATCCATCATCTCTGTATATAGATAACAGTGCTAAGTTATCTTTAAAAGGAAATATATCAAGAATATTCGTTATAATTTCAAACATTCTGAAATCAGCCAGGGATGGGCTCATTGGGGCTCCCATTGGGATTCCACATGTCTGTCTGAATATCAAGTTATTAAATTCAAATTCATTATTGCATAGAATGAATTGAAGTATTCTTAAGAAGTCCTTTTTTGGTGGTAGAGGTATTTCATGTTTATTACGACATATTTTGTACCATGCTCTGTCAACTGCTTGCAGTATTTCATCGTGAGTTAAGGAATTGTACATACTAGTTATATCAAAAGTGCACATAATTATGTCATCCGGTGCCCTTATTTGTTCTATTTTGTTAATAAATGAGGTTGTGTCCTGTGTATAAGTCCATAATTGGCTAACTACTGGTTTTAGGAAGTAGTCTATAAATTGACCAATTTTTTCAAGTGGACTATTGCATAATGATACAATTGGTCTCCCAGGAATATCAATATTTTTAAGGAAATCTTTGTTAGTTTTGATTTTTTTTCTATCTTCATGGTTAATTTTGTGAATTTTAGGCAACATATAGAGTCGTCCCACTCGTATATTGGCATTATTGGCTAGGTATTTATATGTTATATCGTCGATATATTCTTTCTTGTGTAGTTGTTTGATCATTTTTTGAATAGTTTCGGATATTTTGTTCGTATTAAATTCATGAATTTGCTCATAGCATATACTGTTGTTCAGGAAGTTCAGTGTTTGTTTAATATATAGATTTTTATCCAGAACAACAGTAGATGAATTTTTGTCAGCTTTCTTAATAATTATATTATTATTTGAACGTAAGGTTTTGAGTGCCGCTCTCTCATGTTTAGAAAGATTATTTCTAACTTTGTTTATTTTTAGTCTGCATATTTCCATCTTTGTGGCAAATAGATAATTTTCTATTGTGTTGTTTGCTAAAGAGGGTTTGAATCCCGATTTGATTCTAAAAGGATGATTGGTGTCCGCATTAGATTTTTCACTAAAGTGATATTTGCATCGCATTTTTCTGCCTAGTTCGTCAAAATCTCGTAAGAGATTTTGTTTAATGTATTTTACATCAGGACTGGGAATAAATTTTAATCCCTTTGCAAGAACTAATATTTCATAGTTTGTGAGATTTTCACGTGAAAACACTTCTATATAGTTTAAAGCTTTTCTTACATTTTCATGAAAGTTTTTTGTGCGTTTAAGATGGCCTTTGTTATTATTATGTATACGGAGTTTACTTTTGTATTTTATTAATCGTTTTGTCTGATCCCTTTTCCTGAGAGATCTTTTTCTATTACTCATAGTAATATATTTGTTTAGATTTCTTTTGTGACAAAACTACTTTGTTTGTTTGTATAATTATTTCAACTCTAATTGAGAGATGAAATGAATATATATAACATTCAACTCTATTTGAGAGATGAACTGTATTTTACTAATTCTACTCTATTTGAGAGATGAATTGATTTGTATTTTGTTTAAATCTATTTCAAAAATTATACATTGTATATGTAAACTCTGTTGAAGTGTTTGTTCACTTCTGCGGCAATCAATGTGTACTGCAAATATACACAAAGAATTACCACGTGCATACATTAGTCTAAGACTTAGATTCTGATTGGATATTCCAATGTTCCCACGTCACTCGTAACAAACAATAAAGTTCGTCATTTGTATTCTCAATCTGATTGGTTGTTCCGTAATTAGTGTAGATCAGTTACTACGTCATCGAACCATCTAACTCTTGTCATATGTGTGTATTTTATTAAATAATGATTTAACACTTAATTGTTATTAAACTAGTAAGATAAAATCTAATGCTAATTAAATTCCTTTATATAAATAAGTAATGATTTAGACAATACTATTAAATTACGATATTAATATTATCATTCTAAAAATAAATAGAGGTAATTGTGAGACAGATATAATCTATTCGTGTAAAGATAAGGGTTGTTGATGAAATTGCTCTGTTTGCCCTTGCGTAGTCATGTGTATAATCTATTGATAACAATCATGCTACGTGTGTATGATATTTGTAAAGTTACGTGATTTTAGTAAAGATGTTGTAGATAATCAATATACGAACGAACTATAATTTATAGAATATTTGTACCTAGATAGTACGATTATAATGCTCATTGCTAAAACCATACGAAATTAAATGATTGCAATTTTAAGTATAATTTCTTAAGCGATCTTTTAATTAATAGCTGTCAATTGATGAGTAGCAATTAAAACAAACTTATTAAACTACAATAATTCAAAGTTTCCTTGATTTTTAAATGCCTAATGAATATATAGTTATGTGATAATTAATTCTAATCAATAAGATAAAACTACAATATTCAAAGTAATCAGACCTGTTTTAATAATCAAATAAAATACATCCGTTTATAGTTGAATAAAAGTTGATATCCATCTTGTATTATAAAGACACTTTGTTTAACATTGAAAACACATAATTCCACTGAAATACGTAAGAATATTAATGCACTTGTCTTAGTAATAATTATTACGGAGGTTTCTGCGGCCTCTTCCACGGTTCCCACGACCGTATCTGTTACCCAGAACATTCTTAAGGTCATCAATTTCCTTTTTCATCAAGTCCATTTCACTTACTGGTTTAGTATTGTCAGTTTGTTGTTTAAGTATCTGTAGTTCCTGCTTAATTCTGTCAAGATCAGACAGTTCTTTTGGATCCTTGTTAGCACTTTGTCTATATTGATCGGCCCATTTTTCTTTCAGGATCCTCACTCTGTCGTTCAAACGGACAATGCTTGATCCGTTGTTTATTGCCGCTGATGTCTGGTGCCAGTATTGTTCAACTTCAGCTGTCAGCTTGTCAGCATATTCTTTAACTGATACAGTTAGGAATTCCCGGAAATTAATTTTTACAGTACTATTGAACTCCTGCAATTTCAATTTAAAGAAGGTGCTTGCGTCATCTGATCCAAATCTTGGCGAGAACGTAGCATTGTTTATATTTGCGTAAACAGGTAGGGTGTCCCTATCGAATCTTCTAATGTCCCTTAGTAGAGTCAGTATTGGGTGCCTTTTAGCTAATGCACTGTCCATATTGTCAATACATTTACTCGTGTAACGTCAAAATCATACCAATTAACTTTGACTTTGATAACTTAGTAAATGAGAGCTGCAGCAGTGGTAACATAACGGATAGTATCAATATTGACAAATGTATTGACAATATGGACAGTGCATTAGCTAAAAGGCACCCAATACTGACTCTACTAAGGGACATTAGAAGATTCGATAGGGACACCCTACCTGTTTACGCAAATATGAACAATGCTACGTTCTCGCCAAGATTTGGATCAGATGACGCAAGCACCTTCTTTAAATTGAAATTGCAGGAGTTCAATAGTACTGTAAAAATTAATTTCCGGGAATTCCTAACTGTATCAGTTAAAGAATATGCTGACAAGCTGACAGCTGAAGTTGAACAATACTGGCACCAGACATCAGCGGCAATAAACAACGGATCAAGCATTGTCCGTTTGAACGACAGAGTGAGGATCCTGAAAGAAAAATGGGCCGATCAATATAGACAAAGTGCTAACAAGGATCCAAAAGAACTGTCTGATCTTGACAGAATTAAGCAGGAACTACAGATACTTAAACAACAAACTGACAATACTAAACCAGTAAGTGAAATGGACTTGATGAAAAAGGAAATTGATGACCTTAAGAATGTTCTGGGTAACAGATACGGTCGTGGGAACCGTGGAAGAGGCCGCAGAAACTTCCGTAATAATTATTACTAAGACAAGTGCATTAATATTCTTACGTATTTCAGTGGAATTATGTGTTTTCAATGTTAAACAAAGT